TTCAAGGAATGTTTGAGTCATGCATAGAAGTAAACGGTAAGTGAATTTCATACCACACGCTATGGTTCATAAGGAGAAATTCACCTTTTGAGCGTTTTCCTGTTGTAGGTTGAGGTCATTGCTTACCGCATATGTGCCGGATTTCGCTGGCACATCAGAATCGTCTGTCGTTGACAGACGATCTTTGAATAATAATAGTGATGACTAAAGAACAGAACAAATGCGGAACTGACTATAACTGAAACTAAATGTACCTACTTAACATTTAAGTTTTGAAAACCCATTCAGTGTGGATTTGAGTTTGATCCTCTTTTCCGAACCCAAATTCACTTTTCCTTCATTTGGAATTGATTTTAGAATTTTCCCTTGCAAATTATTTTCCAACTGAAAAATTAGTTTTCACAGATGCTTTTGATGTTAGTCGAAACAGTTTTCACTGCAGGATTTACGCAGCCTGAACTTTCCAAGTCTTCATCTTATCTAGAATTTCTGTATTAATTAGAAATTCGAAAGATGGTTAATTTGAGTGTGAACTGTGATTTTGCTCATGTTACTTGATATCTTTGCCCAAATGTCAAAGCTGTGTCTTTTTCTTCTTTTTTCCTTTTGTACTTGACTTTGAATATACCTGAAAGGTTTTCTCTAGTTCTGTCCGAATTTCAGCACTCAAAGGGTTTGAATAGAGCAAATGTTTTTATTCAAACTATATACTGCCTGTCGATAAAGGCACGGTTTTTTCCTTTTATCTGAGACCGATTTGACCTTCGTGCGATCCGTCTGAAGGTTTTTGGCTAAGGATCAGGTTCGCTGACCCGGAGTTCGGCTGGGCTTTTCCTTTTCAGCATTCCCTGGTCAGATTCCAAAACAGGCTCTCAGCAGGTGGAGCTTAGATTGTCTCCATATCTTAGTGAGCAGTCGGTAACAGCGAGCATGACTGTTTGGTGCAGGCACTCCTCGAAAAGAGCTAATCAGGCTCGGGTTTCTAGCCTGTCTACACGTAAAGCAGATGGCCTGAAATGATTGAGATGAACAATATCTCGGCTGCGAAAATGGTGAAAGTTTTAAGTAACATGTTTGCGAGATATAAGACAATTGCCGCAGACAGTTGTGAGTAACTAGCTTTCAGTTTACATCGGAATCATCAAGAAGCTTTGCGACGAAGGGACTCACCCTTATAAGTACGCTTTGTACCACCCTCAACTCGATGATACTCTGAATCGCGGTATCAAGAAACTAGAGGGGGAGGAGAGGTCAACAGAAGAGACTTTGAATGTAGTATTACAACCGTATAGGACCACACCCAACACGAATTCGAACGACGCGTGCCCAGCAGCGTTGTTTCTAAGCTGGGACTTGCGTATAAGGTTGTGTCAGTTACTAAGATGTCAGAAGATGCAGAAGATTCTCTTGCACAAAAAAGACGAAAACGCATGAAAGATAATTCTACAAGAAACATGGAGTATGTCGTAAGGAGTTTGAAGATGGTAATCTTATATATAAAGCTGAATGTCTGTTTGTATGTCTGTCTGTATGTCTGTATGTCTGTCTGTATGTCTGTCTGTACGTATGTTCCGAATAGAAAATTCCATTTCTGAACCGATCGGGACCAAACTTGGCACACATACACTTCGGGCCCCGGCGGTTGATGAAATCGATAAAATCGATATCGATCGATGACGAAAAGTGGCCTATGACACCCGCCGGGGCCCGAAGTGTATGTGTGCCAAGTTTGGTCCGGATCGGTTCAGAAATGGAATTTTCTATTCGGAACATACGGCGGAGCCGGGTAGGCCAGCTAGTTTGGTATACGCTAGGCAGTGAAAACCACCCACTTCCACTGTATAAAGGGAACCATGATGAAACGTATTGAACGTGTCAAACACGAGGTAATGATTGGCGGTGAGATCTGCAAGAAGCATACCAACCAGCTGCGGCCTAAGCAGAAGCGAACAAATTATATCCAGATGTGCATCCAGCGGTATGCCAGCACAAATTCGACGAGTCGACATCGAACCACGACCTGCATGCAACCTACACAGCTCCGGAGATCGAGCAGAACCGGAATGCTGTTTAGCGGTTATAATCCTAGTGGTTAATAATGCTAATAATGCTGTTATAGTCGTCCTCACCCCCACTAGTCGGCCGGTGGTCGAATTTGAATTCAAACTGAGCAGGCTGACCGCGGCAGAGCGCGCAGACGCCGCCCCTCAGCCAACCGCTTGCACATGAACTTTTTCTTATATTTTTCGTATTTCTTTGCTATTTATCCTATTGTTCCTATTTATCCTAATGTTCCTAATCAGATTTTTAGATTTCGTACCGCTAACTATTGTCTTGTACAGTTGTGCTCGTTTATTTTACTTTTTTTCCAGGTAAACCGAGAAGAAGGATGCGATCGGAGGCAATTGTGACACAGGTTTATCATATCACATATGTTATATGTCCCTTACCGGAAAAGATTTCTCATTTAAAAATCTCCAATCGCATCTTTTTTTCCCGGTTTACCTGGAAAAAAAGTAGAATAAACGAGCACAACTGCACAAAACAATAGTTAGCGGTACGAAATCTGAAAATCTGATCAAGAACATTGCCGCAATACGAAAAATAGCAAAGAAAACGAAGAAAATAGGAAAAAGCTTATGTGCAAGCGTCTGGCTGAGGGGCGTCTGCAGCGCTCTGCCGCGGCCGGCCTGCTCCAGCTCGAATAAATTCGACCACCGACCGATTAGTGGAGTGAGGACGATTGTATATGTAAATCTGATTTGTTTGCCAATGTTGAGCTTTGTCGTATGTTTTTTCGTTCGTAACTACCCTACTGGGGAGGTGTAGTGTTAGTGATTGATCACTTGTTAATTGTCATATTATGATTGCAGTAGCATTAGTCGACATCATGTCCGCTATGCGCGGGAAATGAGCGCTATAAAAGGCGCTCACTTTTGGCCATTGTCTCGTCTGTTCTCCTGGCCTTTCATATTTTATTGTTTTTTTTACTATTTTTCTAAGAAATCTTTTTTCCTTCTGTCCAAGGAACGAAGAGGTGTGCGAAGTTCGAGTACACAACATACTCGGTTGTTCCGAAACTTCTGTCCGATTTCTAGTTGCCTTGTTTTAACCCTAGTTTCTTGGAGTTTTGTAGTTGTTGCAGATATATGAATATCATCTGAAAGCACTTTCATTACTCTTTCTAGTGCTCACTAATGCTTGACAAAACTTCTCAGTGATAAAAATCCAACCCCCGAAGCCAAACTGCTAAAATGCAGTCATGCTCAAAAAAGTTTCTGTGCACATAATTTTCGAAGTATTCGTAAAACTAAATGTGTAATATTTTGTAGGGTCAGGGAGTAATGGGCTAATATACGCCCACTTTACCTTCAACAAAGCGGACGTCTTATTTTTTCAATTTTTTCTCAAAGTTAGAAGATAAACTCAGTCATTTAAAAGTGGCAATAATTCACGTTTAGCGAACGGTGGTGCACTCAATAATGCATATGACAGAGTAAAACGAGAGCAAGCGGGACCATCGGCCAAGTTAGCTTTCTCCGTTCGCGACAACAAGAAAACATCAATTGTTAGGAAGTTGACCTATCTGCGCGCGCGGAGATGGCCGAAGTAATGGATTTTTTGATTTGCTCGTAAAAATTTCTGTGCAGCAAGGGTAGCTCGAAATTCCTTTAGCCATGAAAGAATCTTTAAAGCTAGCCTCTCAGTCAGTCGTCAAGTCCGGTCTTCTAACGTTGTCTCTGAATGGAGATAAGAGGCCTGGAAATCCCTGGCTGGGCGGAGTCTGATATCAGACTTCGCCCAGCCAGGGTCTGCTTTTCGACGCGTACTCACATGCCAGTGAGCAGAAGCTGCACACTGCTGCAACTGCACCCATGCAGTCGCAGCTCCTTCCCGCGCATGCCGACGAGGACGAGCGATTCGAAACTAGTCCGCGTCCTCAAGACAGGGTCCCTAGGAATCGGGTTTTTGGTGAATTTTGGAGAGTTTGAAGTGCGGAACTGCAATCAGGGCCACGGAAAGGCCCCAGAATGAAAAAACATGGGGGGCGAAATTCTGGATGGACGCTGACTCTAAGTAGAAAATGCCATTTATGAGTAGGAATCAGTTTTGTATTGATCAAGATATTCTGGGCGAACACTTTCTAGTTCTTCCTATCATCCTCCCCTTTAACTTGCATCAATTTATTATAGACTGAGATTCTGCATAGTCAATGGTAATCGTCGAATCAATTGTAATGTTCCATTTACGTATACGGTAAAGCTGCGGAAGCATAAACATTTTGAGTGCTACCACAAACGGGGACATTACAATTAAAACAGTGCACACCAGTCAGGATGATTTATTTTATTTTATAGTGTATGAAGCATATGCAAAACTGTGTAAATGCGTTCACGGTGTATTCTGTAGTGCTATTTGCTGTCAGGAACTGCAAGTGTCTCAAGTCAAACAGCCCGCTCAGTAGTAGCAAATAATTTGAAATCAACGAAAAGGTGCACCAATTTCGATGAAGAAGAAATACCAATAGCAATTTCTTCTGACGTAGTTCTTGAATGTACAGCCTGCAAATAGGATTTAACGACTCATACGGACTTATTATGCATCTTGCTCCAGTTTAAGGATAAAGATGAGTGAGCAAATCATACTATCGCTCCTACATAGAAGAGTTCATGCATTTTTCTGGGCTTTCGCCGCCACTTGCATTTTCATCATGTCACAAGTCACGTTGCAAGTGTAGTGCAGTGCTTCAGTGCTCATCACGAGTTGCTCTCTGTGTGTCCTACTTCTACTGATACTGCGGTTCATATTGTAGCACATTTGATTACATGTCTTTTGCCTGTAGACGTCCGAGTGACTTGGTTTACCTGTTCAGACTGTTTCTACTTGCAAGCCTGCCTTTCAAATCTACATCAGCATCTCATATTTTCCTCTCCACCGACTTCTTAGAGCGTCTCTTTGATTGTGTTCCTACTAATTAAGGCTACACGCTGCAGAGAAGGTCAAAGTTTTTTACGGTTATTCTTGGTCTGCTGTATAGTCTTGCCGTGAGCGATGTCACGAATGTCCACCTTTTCGCCTAAATAATGGTGTGCGCCTCCTTTCGTCAGACTTCCTGGCTGTGACTTGGTGTATGTGGGGACATATGCAGAACTGTGATCCCGATTGCTATTTGGCTGTGACTTCGTGTATGGAGGCACGTATGCAGAGCTATGGTCCTGTGGATTTTCTGGCTGTGGAGTGGTGTATGCGGGGACGTATGCAGAGCTGTGATCTCGAATGGAGTCTTGCTGTGGCTTTGTGTATGTGGGGACGTATGTAGAGCTGTGATCTTGAGGCTTTTCCGGCTCAGGCTTTGTGTATGTGGGGACGTATGCAGAGCTGTGATCTTGAGGTTTTTCTGGCTCAGACTTGGTGTATATAGGAACGTATGCTGAGCTGTGATCTCGACTGCTCTCTATTTGTGCCTTGGTGTATGTAGGGACGTATGCTGAGCTGTGATCTTGAGGCTTTTCTGGCTCAGGCTTGGTGTATGTGGGGACGTATGCGGAACTGTGATCTTGAGGCTTTTCTGGCTCAGGCTTGGTGTAGGTAGGTACGTATGCAGAGCTGTGATCCCGACTGCTCTCTATTTGTGCCTTGGTGTATGTAGGGACGTATGCTGAGTTGTGATCTTGAGGCTTTTCTGGCTCAGACTTGGTGTGTATAGGAACGTATGCTGAGCTGTGATCTCGAATGGATTCTTGCTGTGGCTTTGTGTATGTGGGGACGTATGCTGAGCTGTGATCTTGAGGCTTCTCTGGCTCAGGCTTGGTGTATACAGGAACGTATGCTGAGTTGTGATCTTGAGGCTTTTCTGGCTCAGGCTTGGTGTAGGTAGGGACATATGCAGAGCTGTGATCTCGACTGCTCTCTAGCTGTGCCTTGGTGTAGGTAGGGACATACGCAGAGCTGTGATCCCGACTGCTTTCTATTTGTGTCTTGGTGTATGTGGGGACGTATGCTGAGCTGTGATCTCGAATGGATTCTTGCTGTGGCTTTGTGTATATAGGAACGTATGCTGAGCTGTGATCTTGAGGTTCTTCTGGCTCAGGCTTGGTGTAGATAGGGACATACGCAGAGCTGTGATCCCGACTGCTTTCTATTTGTGTCTTGGTGTATGTGGGGACGTATGCTGAGCTGTGATCTCGAATGGATTCTTGCTGTGGCTTTGTGTATATAGGAACGTATGCTGAGCTGTGATCTTGAGGTTCTTCTGGCTCAGGCTTGGTGTATGTAGGGACGTATGCAGAGCTGTGATCTTGGGGTTTTTCTGGCTCAGGCTTGGTGTAGGTAGGGACATATGCAGAGCTGTGATTTTGAGGCTTTTCTGGCTCAGACTTGGTGTAGATAGGGACATACGCAGAGCTGTGATCTCGACTGATTTCTAATTGTGCCTTGGTGTATGTGGGGACGTATGCGGAACTGTGATCTTGAGGTTCTTCTGGCTCAGACTTGGTGTATATAGGAACGTATGCTGAGCTGTGATCTCGACTGCTCTCTATTTGTGCCTTGGTGTATGTAGGGACGTATGCTGAGCTGTGATCTTGAGGCTTTTCTGGCTCAGGCTTGGTGTATGTGGGGACGTATGCGGAACTGTGATCTTGAGGCTTTTCTGGCTCAGGCTTGGTGTAGGTAGGGACATATGCAGAGCTGTGATTTTGAGGCTTTTCTGGCTCAGACTTGGTGTAGATAGGGACATACGCAGAGCTGTGATCTCGACTGATTTCTAATTGTGCCTTGGTGTATGTGGGGACGTATGCGGAACTGTGATCTTGAGGTTCTTCTGGCTCAGGCTTGGTGTATGTAGGGACGTATGCTGAGCTGTGATCTTGAGGCTTCTCTGGCTCAGGCTTGGTGTAGGTAGGGACATATGCAGAGCTGTGATCCCGAGTGCTCTCTATTTGTGCCTTGGTATATGTGGGGACGTATGTAGAGCTGTGATCTTGAGGCTTCTCTGGCTCAGGCTTGGTGTAGGTAGGGACATACGCAGAGCTGTGATCCCGAGTGCTTTCTATCTGTGCCTTGGTGTATGTGGGGACATATGCAGAGCTGTGATCCCGAGTGCTCTCTATTTGTGCCTTGGTATATGTGGGGACGTATGTAGAGCTGTGATCTTGAGGCTTCTCTGGCTCAGGCTTGGTGTAGGTAGGGACATACGCAGAGCTGTGATCTCGACTGATTTCTAATTGTGCCTTGGTGTATGTGGGGACGTATGCGGAACTGTGATCTTGAGGCTTCTCTGGCTCAGGCTTGGTGTATGTAGGGACATATGCTGAGCTGTGATCTTGAGGCTTCTCTGGCTCAGGCTTGGTGTATGTAGGGATATATGCAGAGCTGTGATCCCGAGTGCTTTCTATTTGTGCCTTGGTGTATGTGGGGACGTATGTAGAGCTGTGATCTTGAGGCTTCTCTGGCTCAGGCTTGGTGTAGGTAGGGACATATGCAGAGCTGTGATCCCGAGTGCTCTCTATTTGTGCCTTGGTATATGTGGGGACGTATGTAGAGCTGTGATCTTGAGGCTTCTCTGGCTCAGGCTTGGTGTAGGTAGGGACATACGCAGAGCTGTGATCCCGAGTGCTTTCTATCTGTGCCTTGGTGTATGTGGGGACATATGCAGAGCTGTGATCCCGAGTGCTCTCTATTTGTGCCTTGGTATATGTGGGGACGTATGTAGAGCTGTGATCTTGAGGCTTCTCTGGCTCAGGCTTGGTGTAGGTAGGGACATACGCAGAGCTGTGATCTCGACTGATTTCTAATTGTGCCTTGGTGTATGTGGGGACGTATGCGGAACTGTGATCTTGAGGCTTCTCTGGCTCAGGCTTGGTGTATGTAGGGACATATGCTGAGCTGTGATCTTGAGGCTTCTCTGGCTCAGGCTTGGTGTATGTAGGGATATATGCAGAGCTGTGATCCCGAGTGCTCTCTATTTGTGCCTTGGTGTATGTGGGGACGTATGTAGAGCTGTGATCTTGAGGCTTCTCTGGCTCAGGCTTGGTGTATGTAGGGATATATGCTGAGCTGTGATCTCGACTGCTTTCTATTTGTGCCTTGGTGTATATGGGGACGTATGTGGAGCTGTGATCTTGAGGCTTTTCTGGCTCAGACTTGGTGTAGATAGGGACATACGCAGAGCTGTGATCTCGAGTGCTCTCTATTTGTGCCTTGGTGTATGTGGGGACGTATGTAGAGCTGTGATCTTGAGGCTTCTCTGGCTCAGGCTTGGTGTAGGTAGGGACATATGCTGAGCTGTGATCTTGAGGCTTCTCTGGCTCAGGCTTGGTGTATGTAGGGATATATGCAGAGCTGTGATCTCGAGTGCTCTCTATTTGTGCCGTAGTGTATGTGGGGACGTATGTAGAGCTGTGATCTTGAGGCTTCTCTGGCACAGGCTTGGTGTAGGTAGGGACGTATGCTGAGCTGTGATCTTGAGGCTTCTCTGGCTCAGGCTTGGTGTAGGTAGGGACATATGCTGAGCTGTGATCTCGACTGCTTTCTATTTGTGCCTTGGTGTATTTGGGCACGTATGTAGAGCTGTGATCTTGAGGTTTCTCTGGCTCAGACTTGGTGTAGATAGGGACATACGCAGAGCTGTGATCTCGAGTGCTCTCTATTTGTGCCTTGGTGTATGTGGGGACGTATGTAGAGCTGTGATCTTGAGGCTTCTCTGGCTCAGGCTTGGTGTAGGTAGGGACATATGCTGAGCTGTGATCTTGAGGCTTCTCTGGCTCAGGCTTGGTGTATGTAGGGATATATGCAGAGCTGTGATCTCGAGTGCTCTCTATTTGTGCCGTGGTGTATGTGGGGACGTATGTAGAGCTGTGATCTTGAGGCTTCTCTGGCTCAGGCTTGGTGTAGGTAGGGACGTATGCTGAGCTGTGATCTTGAGGCTTCTCTGGCTCAGGCTTGGTGTAGGTAGGGACATATGCTGAGCTGTGATCTCGACTGCTTTCTATTTGTGCCTTGGTGTATATGGGGACGTATGTAGAGCTGTGATCTTGAGGCTTCTCTGGCTCAGGCTTGGTGTAGGTAGGGACATATGCTGAGCTGTGATCTCGACTGCTTTCTATTTGTGCCTTGGTGTATATGGGGACGTATGTAGAGCTGTGATCTTGAGGCTTCTCTGGCTCAGGCTTGGTGTAGGTAGGGACATATGCAGAGCTGTGATCCCGAGTGCTCTCTATTTTTGCCTTGGTGTACGTGGGGACGTATGTAGAGCTGTGATCTTGAGGCTTCTCTGGCTCAGGCTTGGTGTAGGTAGGGACATATGCTGAGCTGTGATCTCGACTGCTTTCTATTTGGGCCTTGGTGTATGTAGGGATGTATGCTGAGCTGTGATCCTGAGTGCAATTTTGCGTGGTCTGGGGTGGTAGCCGTAGGAGTTCGTGGTATATGTTACCACTCGATTCATTAGTTTCATATCGACTTTCAGCAATGTCCTCGTCTTCATTTTTGTGGTCATGTTGTTTGTTGACTTTGCTCTAAATTTGCAGAGTGGTCAGCCAATGTAATACATAGTGAAAGTGGAAAATCTTACATTTTTGTCCAAACTTTTGAAGATATCGACACGTTTGCTTGTTTTTTTCTGCTCGCTGTTGTTTCCTCTCAGTTCAATCTTGTCACGAAGATGTTTTACAGCTGAAACTTGCGGTAAAAGAGTCGGAAACATTTTCAGAGTGGCCGATATATGAAATTATAACATATGATATATCTTTTTCGGGAATATTCTGTTATGACGGTGGGTCAAAGACGGTTTTTATATCAAAACATATATGAATAGCGCCAATGAAGTCTTTTGATGCGGAAGGGGCTTCAGTCTGCTTCTGCTTGAACACGGCACCAGAGAGGCAGTCGTTTTATTTTGAGGATGAGAAATTACTGCCGTAAGAGTTCTAGATTTCTCCTCAGGCAATGCTCTACAACATCTTATGTGTTAGGCCTGTATGCGCTTACATCCCTGCGAGGAGGGGAGAGGAGCTGAGAAGTATGCATGATATCTGGCTACTCTAGTTATCTTTCTTCTTCTTTCTCTATCTGGCTCATCAAAGTTCTCATACCCTGGTGCCTGCGATCAATAGATGCCAGGTTATTGCCACACTTTATTGTGTGATCCCCTGGGGACAGGTCCACGGAGTGGCATTTAAAAATTTTGGAAACAAATATGGTTCATTTTCAAAATTGTGACGACGAGTTGACTGCAGTTCTTGCGCACAAGGGTTGTAAAACACCCATACAAAAAAGCATCACTACAACGCTCATCTCAGTCACTTCCAGTGTCTCAATACTATCATATGTAAGCAGAAAAACTATTTGATCAGAGATAGAAACCGAGAAGTGGGAGTGCATGCATGTCGCGCGGTCGCGCCATCGTTACGATCCCTCCTTGACATTGCAGTAGTTTACAAAATACCGTTTATGTTGTAATTGGAAGTACAGCTATTTAGTTCTTGCGCACAAGGGTGGTAAAACACCCATCCAAAAAAGCATCACTACAACGCTCATCTCAGTCACTTCCAGTGTCTCAATACTACATATGTAAGCAGAAAAACTATTTGGTCAGAGATAGAATTCGAGAAGTGGGAGTGCATGCATGTCGCGCGGTCGCGCCATCGTTACGATTTTCCAAATGCCCTATACCTCCTTGACATTGCAGTAGGTTACAAAATACCGTTTATGTTGTAATTGGAAGTACAGCTATTTACCTGCAACGAACGACATGCGGACGGAAGTGAAGAGAAGATGAGAAAATTTAGAGATAAAACAACGATAGGCGAGAAAAGCCGGTTTTCGAATTATCGGAGGCCGTAGCAAGACAAAGGGGACGAAAAAACTCTACCTATGAGTGTTTGAAACAAACACTCATAGGTAGAGCTTGATCTGAAAACCAGATTTAGGTTCAAATTTTGGAAAATTATGTGAGGAAGGGGAAAAGTTATGGCTTTGTTTGGTTCCACGCAACCTTACAGTTAGGATGCTCCCAGGTTGTGCGGGAGCAACCAAAAATAGAAAAACGCTTACAACTGTGCATTCCAGTTGTATATAAATATATATAAGGCTGAATGTCTGTTTGTATATATAGGCTGAATATTTGTATATTCAGCCTTATATATAAGGCTGAATGTCTGTTTGTCTGTATGTCTGTCTGTATGTCTGTATGTCTGTCTGTACGTATGTTCCGAATATCCGGACCAAACTTGGCACACATACACTTCGGGCCCCGGCGGGTGTCATAGGCTACCTTTCGTCATCGATCGATATCGATTTTATCGATTTTTTGCAAAATTTGAGCTACGGGGCTGGGAGTTGGCATAGGGGGGTAATCGAGCATGCTGATTACGAATATAATAATGACAGGGCCGGGCGGAGCCGGGTAAGTCAACTAGTATGTCATATTTTCTAATGCTTTTCTTTGATTCTCATTGCGAGATCCACAGGGGATCACCTCTCACAAAGTCAGTCATCTCCCTGGAAAATCACTAAAAACGCTGCAAAATTCTACTGGGGATATACTACGGCACTGTCAAAAAAGAGGGCGTATCGTTACGTGTGGGCTGCCAATCGGAAAACGTCGCGCGCGACAGGCTGGTAGTGACCGCCACTCGTGGTATTCAGCCAGCATGATCCGCAGCATATAGTTCTTCAGTTCCTCATCCTTTGTTGAGGTTCACAGACTATTCTCATATTAGTTCTGCTTAATTTGAAGTCTGCCACAAAAATTGTAAAATGAGCTCTTTGAAGAATAAAAAAGTCACAAAATTGAAGAATGTAAAAAACTAGCAATATAGAAGAAGCACGGGTAATCTAGTGGTATAAATCTGACAAGTTTTCTGCACTGCTGCTCCCCGCGCGCGGTTACTGTAACGTCGCGTTGCGACGTCTTAAATTTGGCACCCTCACGTAACGAGCGCCTCCTCCCCCCCCCCACCCCCCCAAAAATGTTTTCGACAAATGAAATGGAATCTGAAGAGTGTGAATTTTTTTGATTATCCCTACCTCGCAAGCATTGGTTCATTGAAGATTTCGATATTCTGTACTTCACTTATCTTATATATAAAGCTGAATGTCTGTTTGTATGTCTGTATGTATGTCTGTATGTACGTATGTTCCGAATAGAAAATTCCATTTCTGAACCGATCGGGACCAAACTTAGCACACATACACTTCGGGCCCCGGCGGTTGATGAAATCGATAAAATCGATACCGATCGATAACGAAAAGTGGACTGTGACACCCGCCGGGGCCCGAAGTGTATGTGTGCCAAGTTGGTCCGGATCGGTTAAGAAATGGAATTTTCTGTTCGGAACATATGGCGGAGCCGGGTAAGCCAGCTAGTTTCTATTATAAACATGTTTAGCAGTGCTATATTTTATCCTCGTTACTTTTCATCGAGTTTATGGAAAAATGAATGACTTTGAAAATGTGAGGTGATCCGGTGAAGAATTCCGCAAACAGTGAAAATTCACCTTGTATAGCAGTGTCCTCTCATCTGCCATACTCATACATAAGGGCATGTGAACTCCATACCGATAACTAGAGCAGCGAGATATGACCCATCCCCTTTTATATCCTCTCCCCTCCCCGCGGGGATGTACGTGCATACGGGTCTTAGAAAAGTCGACTCGAAAAGGGACAGTCACCACGAGTGTGCAACGTGTACGTTCTCCACATAGCATTTTTTGATGCAATGGCTTTGAGATGGCTGCTGAAGTCTGTAAAAATGTGCAGGAGCTCAAAGTTGAAGCAGTAAGACACTAAGATCTCACCCTCTTTGACAGGATTAATATATATTAGCTAGCTTACCCGGCTCCGCTCGGCTTCAAAAAACTATGATAAAGGTCGCATCTCTATCCCTGTACAATCTTTCCCTGTGCCCGCTTCTACATGGCAATTCCCTATTCCCGCTATGTTAGTAATGACCATGCTCAATTACCCCCTGTGCCAACTCCCAGCCCTGTCGCTTGAACTTTGCAAAAATCGATAAAATCGATATGATCGATAACAAAAGGTAGCCTACGACACGCTCCACGCAACGAAGTAAATGTGTGCCGAGTTTGGTTCAAATCAGTTCAAAAATAAAGATTCCTATTCCGCACGTACGTACACACAGACATAGAGACATACAAACAGGCATTCAGCTTTATATATAAAATTTCTAGAACTTCGTTTTGTTTTGTATGAGAAATCTTGCAGGAAAATATGTGACGCCTGTTTTTTGGTCACTCTGTACACACAAATTACGAAAATGTCTCAAATACGCTCAATCTTTGCTTAAAGGGTTTCCTCCTCGTTTCGAATTGTGCGCTAAACTCGGAGCTTACCTCCTCTACTTGGTAGCGAATTCATATCAGAGCTTGAAATGAGAGTTGAGGCCGCTGAATCGATTCCGGTGTAAATCCCATCCGCTTCATGAATATCTGTTTGTTCGCGACGCTCTTCGAATGTGTAGCTAGTCTGGATTTGTCTTTTCGCTTGAGACTCGCTGAATTTTCCATCACTGACCTGAAAAAGTCCTGTTTGAACGAATCAGAACCAAGTGCAATTATGCATACTTGGTCACTTCTGGACTTAATCTTGCACTCTGTAATGCTATTCACTACTCGGTCGTTTACCACCCGAGGATCGTCGCGGATTTTTGGACGAACCACATGTGGCATTGACACTTCGTCATCTGTTTTGTCAAATAATTCGTTCGATTCTACTACTCCCATATTTTCTATCGAAGAGGTATTCGAAAGTTGAGTCTGCTTCTTGTAGCCATCCCTCTTATAATTACTGGACTCAACTCGAGTGGTCGTGGTGGTGATGGTAGTCTAGAATACTTGGCATCAAGGAATAACGAGCTGGATTTTGTAGGTACCTTTTCTTGGCGATGGACTTGCGTCTGTGGCTCGTTTGCGAGATAACTGCTTTCCATAAATTCTGACGGATAGTCGACCTTGTCAAATGTGAAGGATTCTCTTTCGCTCTAGTAGAAAACCATTGAGACAAGTTTACAGACAGACGAATATAGCAGCAAAGATATTTCGAGGTTTGACGTTTGCCTTGATTTAGAGTGAAAAGTGTGGTGATCGCGATGATTAGCGGTGCACGACACAGCATACCGCGAGCACAAACTCAAGTTTCTTCATCGTTTCTTCCGTTGTTTTTCTTACTGTTTTCCACTCTTTTTGTTAAGCATGCTTGTTTCAAACATGAAGGGGATTTTCCATAGTGGATGTGTATTTGATGCAAAGGCGACGGGGACTTCGTTCACAAAGAATTGTAAAAACCACCTCATGCCGAGCCCTGCTCGCAAACCGGACATAATCCTTCCCACCTCTTCATCTAATTTACCCCGCATTTTCTGGATAATCGAAGCTGCTTAAATCTCTTTCTCGTATTATCGTTGCATATGTGATCTTGTGTGACATTTATGGTCCATCGCTTTTGCTCCTATATTGACTTGCACCAGCACTCATTGCCATATAATGTCAGCGGATAACGGTACAGGTCCCAAGTCCCGGATGTTAAGCTTACAACAATCTTAGAGTGATTGGTGTGAATGAAGTGAGGAGAGTGAGCTGTAATTTGCGATTACTTCAGCAACACCGAAATATTGCGTCTGCGGAATTTCGTCTACTCAACAAGACTTTCAGAGAAAATTTGCTAGCAACTAGGTTTCTCACAAGGAAAGGACCCTCAGTCGAAGTGGGGTTTCCACACGTAATGCATATCATTCTGCTGGTCGTAGCACTAATACCAGATCCGTATTCCTTGGCTGCTTAGTGATCTTCTAAGAAAAGTTATAAGCTACAATTCCCCATAATGATCACTACACTATATAAGTTTGAGGCGCCTAGAAATGTACTGGTGGACTGATGGGCGGGTGGATAGTTGCGGAGGCTATGGTGCAGCTAGTGAAGAGTTTGCGTCCCCTATGGAGTTAAACTTTGCATTTTTGCAAATTGTATTTTGTGAATTCGCAGACGATTTTTGACGAAGGTCTGGTTGCTCGGGAATTGTCTGCGATTTCACATGCAGTTTGCAGAAATGCAAAGTTTGGCTTCATAGGGAACGCGCTCTTCACCACCTACGCCATAGTCTCCGCAGCTATCCACCCGCCTATTCGTCCATACCCGTACATTCCTTGGCGCTTCAGACTTACAAAGCGTAGTGTCATGTTGGAACCGCAACTTTTCCCAGAAGATCATTGAGCAGCTAAGGAACACGGATTTGGTATTAGTGCCCCAAGACCAGCAGAATGGTATGCATAACGTGTGGAAACCCCACTTCGACTGAGGGCTCTTCCCTTGTCAGATAATGTCTTCTCCAACCATTACTCATTCTTAGAAATTCATGAAACTGCTGGATTCATTAAGATGAAATACTGCGCTCATACATTGCGCAGAGATTTGCATAGGAAAATGATTTGTCTCTCTGAGAAGTGTTTTTCAACGGCGGTCACCTTTTCAGTGCTCCCAGTCGTCTCATGACGAACAGAATAGTATGAAATATCACAGAGTTTTCGTTCGCGGGTTCAATTCAAAGCCAAGGGCCCCGCCGCTCCACTGTTTCTCCTTTGCTCGTAGGCGCCTCCAGCTATCGCACGCTAATTCTCATTACCTTACGCACTCGACGGGCAATTAGCTCTGGTATCGTTTTTTCCAATGTTTTGAATTCAGTTCTAAAGAATCGAAAATCATCCTGTACCAGTTAGACCTGTACGCAGACCATGTCGCCATTTCCCTTATTTGTGAATGAGAAATCTAGGAAAAGCCCCGATTTTGAAATCCTTTTATTTTTCCTTTGATTTAGTTAATACCAGGCGATTTTTTCTTGCAATCATCCTGTACCAGTTAGACCTGTATCAATATATATTTGCTTTTGTTATAATGTAAAATGTTGCGGAGTCTAACTTTTCTTGTGCAGTTTCTTCATAGTTTTTTTTTTCTGAGCAACCACGTTTTCATGTTTAGGGTTTTCTTACACAGCATGATGAGCAGAATAATGCTAACAACGTCTCCGGAAACAGGAACATGATTATAAAGGTAAAAATTCAATTTGAACCTTGTTTTCTCGAGGTATGTAATCAACCTTGAAAGTTCGTTCAGTCAGTACAACCACGAGTATCTGGTATCGCTTGGTATGCAAAAGGGGTCGCGTATATATTAGGGTGATCCAAAAGTAATGGAACACCTAGAGAATTAATGCAGTTTTCCCAAATAGAAAAGCTAATTGGAAGTCCAGGTTTTGACAGATGTTAGTACATAACAAAACCTTTTGATCGAGGTCTATAGTTGGGCGCTGTCAAGTGGCGTTATTTTTATAAGCGCTTAAAATTAAAGCTCATCACTTCAAGTAATTTTGAACTTTACGCAGCAGCGCCGCAGTAGAACAAGTGAGCCTACCAAAGATATCTGCGCAGCAATGGGTGAGGAGATTGTCACCACATCCACGATAGCTCGGTGGTCCCAAGGCTTTAGAACAGAAGATATAGCATTGGGTATCAGGAGACATATTACTTATTCTTTCATCAAGGTAATCAAATAAGCTCAGCCTTAACAGTTGTTTTTTGATAGTGCTTTTTACGCTCTATCCGGACATATGCAAATTACTTCAACTTTTCTCATCTCCAATAAATTATGGGCCAGAACCTGAATTTTAGTCTGAGAATCTCGCGCTTTTCCGAATAAAGTGCCTTTTTGTATGAAATAATGGGCAATTCTTGAATATTTAAGTGATCATTAGAAAGAGCTTGGAAAGCTCTTTTAAATGTTATGTTATATGTCGAGGGACTTTCAGGTGCAGCAGCACAAATTCGGATGGCGTTCAAAAAAATCTGTCTGACTTTTTTGAAGCGCCGCTCGAAGGAATGTCGGTGAGGTGTTGCAAGGTGCTGTAAAATAACCTGCGAAGGTCACTTTATACAAAAACGTTCAAATTGCTGGTTGTTCATAGCTAATCAGAAAGAGATCTTGAAGAATGCTCAAGAAATCAAGGTGCTCCCATTACTTTTGGATCACCCTAATAATATATAAAAGGATGTCGCAGGTATGAACAGAGCTCAAATTCAACCTTCGATAGTCTAAAAAGATAGAGCTCGCGAAAGTGAAGGTTGTTTAAACGTTCTTCCCCATAGAAAGTTAAGGTTGTTTGAAAATCAAAGAAGAAAGAGAAACGGGAATAGCATTAGCAAAAACGAGATTGCTGAAAAAGGGTAGCAATGCTACAATAACTTCAAAATCTTTCTTTCGGCGGTGTTTTGAGTCGCAGGTTCTCGCTTCAAGATTCGCTTTTCCACAACTTTGGGTAAACAAGAGGAAAGCTGATTTTTTACAAGTGCAATGACGTTTCGGACTTGCCGAGAAAACAAGGTTCCAATTGAACTTTTACCCGCATATCTTGTTTTCGTTTCCGGCGACGTTTTCAGCATTATTCTGCTCATCATGCTAAACACGAAAACCCTAAGCATGGGAAAACAGGGTGTCCCAAAAGTAAGTACACACTTTTCAATCGTCAATATCTCTCTTCCCAATGGGTCTTTTTTGGCCAGTCAGGTGTCATTGTGTAGAGCAGGTTTTAGCTTAGATTTACAGTATCGAGCAAATCAACGATCGCTTTTCGTTGCTGTAGGATTACGGTAGGAACTTCCAGCACGTGGAATCATTGTGAAATATGCCATCTGAAAAATTTTTTCCAAAAAATCTGGAAAATTGTGTACTAAGATTTTTGCGCACGCTGATTCCATTACACAACTTTTTACGAGTGTTTTCAGCTTTTTTGATGGTGTAATCACATTTCTGACAAAATTGGGGATTCGGTTATTACGGTTTACCTGGGATAACTTGGGAAAGAAGCATCACAGTAAACTAGAAGTTTCATGATCGAAATCGGCGGCTTCGACTACCATAGTATAAGAATTTACGGCTTGTTTGGTTTTGTTAGGCAGACATGGCCTCCAATGGCCTAAAAATCCTTGTCGAAGTTCTTGTCGTGATCCTACAGTAACGATGAGCGATCGTTGATTTGCTCGATACTGTAAATCTAAGTTAAAGTCTCCTCTACAGAATCGTGCTTAAATGGCGGAAAAAGAGACAATGTGAAGAAAGATATTGACGATTGAAAAGTGTGTACTTACTTTTGGGACACCCAGTATGTTTACTTCCTTCTCAGAAAAGAAACTATGAAGAAACTGCTTTTTTGAACTTCACCGCAGACGAAAAGAATCAAGGTCGGCGACGTTTTACATTATGACCAAAGTGAGATCTATGAATGCATAGAAAAATTGCCTGGTAGTAGCTAAACTATCGAATGCATGGAAAGATTGCTTGGTAGTAGCTAGACCAAAGGAAAAATGGAAGGATTTTAAAATCAGGGCTCTTGCTAGATTTCTCATTCCAGAAAATGGAGATCGACGACGTTGACGTACAGCTCTAACTGGTACAAGATGGTTTTCGATGCGTTAGAATTGAATTTGAAACATTGGAAAAAACGATACCAGAGCCAAATGCCCGTCGAGTGCGAGGGCTAACGTCAGCGCGCGATAGACAGAGGCGCTCACGAGCAGAGGAGAAACAGTGGAGCGGCAAATCCTTTGATTGTAAAAACCCGAATTCCTGACAAAACTCTACAATATTTCGCGCCATTCTGTTCGTCATGAAAGGAGCACTGAAAAGGTGACCCCGTTAAAAAACACTTCTCAAAGAGATAAAACAGCGTTTTCCTATGCAAATCATATTAATGAACTCCAGCAGTCTTCAAGAATTTCTTGAGTAGTTCAAGAAGAAATTATCTGGGTAACCTAGTTGCTAGCAAATTCTCTCTGAGCGTCTTGTTTTAAGCAGGCAAAATTCCACAGGAACGCAATATTTCGGTGTTGCTGAAAATATCACGAATTACAGCTTAATCACCTCGCTTCATTTACAACAACCACTTCTATATTGTTGTAAGCTTAACATCCGGGACTTCACTGGAATCCCTGTGTCG